GGCGTTCGTCTCGAAAGCTCGAAAACCAGCTGCAGCTAACTGTTCGATCGTTACGTTTCGATTATCGTTTTAGGCAGTGCAATTGAAACTGTCAGGATACAATGCGGCGCATTGGAATCAATGAGTCCTTAATGCACCGTAGCTTCGACCCGTTCTTCTTCTGCCAGAGGCAAACGATTTTTAACAACCGATTGCTTGCACGTGATTTTCGACCGAAGGAATTACGACACGAACCTTACGTCGAATCCGTAAGATATACCGATCCGTATATCATGTATGGTTGAGAAGAGAATGATTTTAAGCGAAAAACAAAAATGGAACGAAAATATAGAATGAAATTTGTTCGCGCATATGTAACTGAGAACATTTTCTGTATAATTAAACCCTCGAATACAATAGAATCGTCGAGTCGTAACGACTGTAGAGTAGACTTTACATAAATTATCATAATTTAATATCGTTCTAATCTAACTACAATATAATGTCATCTAAAATGGATCACGAAAATTTGACGTATTTAATTGTATTTTCTATTTCACATTCTCTGTAGCTTGAGATTAGCGATTGCGGAAATTATCATTGTTAGTAATCAGCGGCAGTAGTGCAAATTAAATGAAGAACTCCGAAAGATACGTAACTTAAAATCCTATCTATAATAGGTTCGTCCTACGAATAATTCAATTTTGACCCGCATGTGTAATTAGGAACAAAAAAGGAAAAGACATTCAATCTATTTCTGTATTCTACTTCTATTTCTACTTCTAATGGTGTTCCAGAAATAATGTTCAAGTCATATTTATCAGTCTTTATGTAGTACTAGCCTATTTGTATCTATTTATATCTGGCCATACGTAAAGAAATTGTTTGAAAAGCTATCCATAGTGTTATTACATATAGAAAATTAAATTATTATTACATATGTACTTTCTAAGCACTAATTCTTAATCTCTGTTATCGGAAATTATTCCTAAAATTGCTTTCCTCGAAAATAAATTATTCCACGTTCTTTACTTATAGAATCACTGCCTTTCCGGTTTATGATTTATTTTTATAATTATTGCGACACCTTTCATATACGGTTCTCAGTGCAATTTCAATGAGAGAGAGAGAGAGAGAGAAAAAAAACATCGTTCAATTTCTCGGTACGGCCCGAATTTCCTCGAACTCGAAAATAGAGAGAACGTTTCCTTCGGAAATCGGAAGTCTAATTTTGCCAATTTCTCGAGGCTATCTAGCTACCTCCTTATAATAAACATTGCTAACGTTCCTTAAATACTTCGTGATCTACACTTTGTGTTATTATTATTACATAGATTTTAAAAATTTGTGCCGATACGATTCACGCTATTCAAATAAATTGAGAATGGAATTATAGAATATAAATGTAAATTAATTAATAATACAAGCTAAAGGATTCAATGAAAGAATATAGGAGGAGAATGATCAATACAATTTTAGAATCTCAAGAAAAATGTAATAGGAATATTTGTAAGTTTGGTTCTTCAGCAATGTAGAAAAAAATAAAAATACTTCTAACTCAAAGCTCACTTGTTTCAAACTTAATTAACGTTTAGCTCAAAATAGATAGGATACATGTTCAAGAGTTATAGCTTCAGAAAAGATGATCTTTATAATTCGTACATTATTACTGTTCATTTTAGAAATTCAATGATATATAACAACTGATTATAAATTCCATTAGTTGTAGTATAAAATATAGAAACACTAAATATTGTGTTAGTTTATTTTGGAAACATGAGAATTAAGAAGCAATTTTATTCGATACTTTTTCAAAGACACTCAAAAGAATAAACATTAAATAAAAACAATTATTTTCGTGGATAAATCTCTCACTTCGGAATGGAGCAAATGACTTAATAGCTTCATAGAAAAGATCATCACGGCTCGGTGCAATTTCTCAATCGATCGATTTCCACGATTTCGCGACCGTGACCTAGATTAAAATGAATCCAAGGAGCTCCATCAACGAAATGATCAATTCGAGGGACACTCCCTCGTTGAAAACACGCTTTTAAGACACGCCTTGAATATAGGCAGAGAACGTAATAAATGATCAAACGGTTCCTAGAATTTTTCCAACGACAGAGAATCGGCTATTTCCATAAACTGGAGAATGTCGCTTGAATGTTTAGGTTTATTACGCGGAAATAAAAAAAAAAAAAAAAAAAAAAAAGAAAAAAAGAAAAAAACACGAATGAAAAGTTAATGGCGCGGCAATCTTGACCGTAAGTACGGCAATTTTCACTCGCAAAATATACAGAAAATCGTCGTTAATGGCGCCAGATGTTCCGACGTTGGCAAACGTCTAAACTAATGTCTGCTGGCGCCGTTGGATTCGCGTCAAATAAACTGCGTACATCCGGCGTGAACGGCATGCGAACATCTTGAAAAACGGCAAAAATACAGCGAATCGAAAACGAAGATTCTAAACGATCAAGGTCACGCCATATTCAGAGAACTTCGTTTATCTGAACTTTATTTATTGGGATAGCTATGATTATCCTAGTTTCTGAGATTCTATAAATTTCCAAAATATATGCAACATATACAGGTTATAGAGTGATTAAAAAAAAAATTTACATTATAAAAAGAGATATACTATTCTGAAGTTTTTCTTACCATTTATCTCAAAATTCTTCTCGTTCTAGTCACGAAACTATTCGAACATTTCGGAATTTTTGTAAGGAGAGACAACTAAATATTGCGATTACATTGGTAAAACTTAATACCAATCTGAAAATTATTGCAAACATATATTTAGTGAAAAAGCATTAGTAGTTACCTGAAGTTATAATAAATGTCGAAGATGATTCAATTGAATGTCGGAGCTTGTTGACACGAACAATAGTTTTGAAACTTTAACAATAGTTTCACTACATGTTAATAACGTTGCATAATGTTGCTCTATATTCATAAAAAGTTTTCATAGGTGTTCGAATATTTTCGCGAGCAAAAAATTAATACAATCAATTTTCAAATACAATCAAAG